CTTCTTAAGAAGGAACAACCAACTTTTGGCCTTCAGGAACCAAAGCAACGATTCATTTCAGACCCAGTGAATTTTCCTCCTCAAAACTCCCCTGGAAGGGGAAACAGGCCCCCATGCCATGCCCCAGCGTGGAGCAACACACCTAATCAGACCCCTGCTGTGGGCCACAGCCAGGGCCACCTTCCATAAGCTGGACTTCTACTGGGTGGACCAGGAGCACTGGGTGCTCCTGCCAAAGATTCAAGCTCTAGATCCAGGTGGCCATATTTGTACTGTCTGCAAATCCCACTGTGACAGGCAAGACTTCCAGTGGTGAGGGGAAAACACTCTCTAAACCCCAAGCTGGGCTCTGGAAGTAGGCCAAGTAAGAGTTTAATCCTTGTTTGCTCTCTTTTGATATCTCACACTGTGCTGCCAGATATTAACCCTATGCAAGTTGGGGCTGTTCAGTGAGGGGATGCACATTGGTCCAGCCAAACTAAGTGGGACCACAGAGAGCAGGAGAATGTGCCCAACAACGAAACCTTCAAAGGGGAATGTTTGTTTGCTTCCCCTTCAGCCTGGTTTACAGCTGTGTCTCTGCCACAGCAGAAGACACCCTGCTCTTCAACTGTATCCTACTGCAAGGCTGCCCATGCTGAAGGCTTTATTTTTTTTTTTTCTCTGAAGCTGCAGGCTGTAGGTGCAAAACTGACATAGAGGGGTCCCAGGGCTGAGTCAGGATATTGCTTTTGCTGTTTCTTTAGAAATACCTCACCCAACTTCTTTTGGAAAAGAAAAGGGGTACTTAAAAAAGCAGTACCACTTGGTTCCCCTCCTGCCACAATCTACATTTACTAACATTGATGTTTTTAAAGGGCTCTTGGGAGCTATGTGATTTCTGGGGACACTTTCCCTAAAAAAATCAGAGGATTTAGCTGGTGTTTTTTTCTCTCTTAGGATTCAACTCCTAGATTTATGCTTCCAGAGAAATACCGAAGCTGACTTGGGCAAGTCAGATTCAGTGGGCATCTCTGTCACTTCCTAAACCTGCAGCAGACATCTCTTATAAAAACAGCTAAACTGTATACTACGAACCGTGAGATAATTTGACATAAGATTTTCCAAGCATTTATAGGTGTGAATGCATTGGTGAAATACAAGTTTGATTGGTTGTCCACATAACTGTATGTGCCATCTTCCTCACTGACATTAATGCAGTAAAAACTTTTCTTTTAGGGTGGTGTGTGCAGACATCTGGAACGCAGATTGTAACAGATCTCTAGTTATCTCTGAATGTTACCTCTAAAAAAATTACAATTTTTTGAATACAAAAGAACACACTGTTTCCATATAGCTTTGCAGTCACCTCTGGAAGAGGTACCCCTCCTGATGCTCCAAGATAGAAAGGAGAAGAACTGATGAGATATCAGCTGAGAGGAGTGCTTCCTTCTCTAATATAGGAAACTGGACTTCTTTTGAATTATTTACCATTCAGTCAGGAGATAAAAATAGCCTGGCTAGATGAACCAGGGACCTCTTCTATGATCACAATAGCTGTAGTAGGCGAGTGGACAGGAAGAGCCTACAACTACACATCTCCATGTTCTCATCAAGAAAGCTTTAGTTGTTAATGGAGACGCAAGACAAGGCTGGAATCACCTTGTTGAGGATGGTCCCAGAGGGAAGGCTCTCTCTTACACTTTAAATCATAGTACCTTGTCCTACAGCAATGTCTCAGAGCCCCAGGGACCAGTGCAGCACCACAGAGACTGACCTTGCTGAACCCCAGTCAAAAATCTTAAGCTTTCCCACACAGTTTGCAACAATTTCTCATGAAAACACAGGTAACCCCTTTGCAAAATGCATTTAAATGCTGTTTCTTTCACTTGGTAATATGCATCCACTGAACACACAAGCTGTGTTTCAGGAACAAGGAGCAGAAAAGCATCACTCCAAGAGGCATAGCTGGGATAAAATGTTCCACAGGAGAACCAGCATCTTCTCCACTACATATCTTTTTTGGTAGCCTCAGAAAGAGATGTTTGTTTAAACGAATGAAGTAGCATGGCTTCGGCAGTTAAACAGCTATTTTGTGTACTCTGGGAAGGGGGACATCAACACACTGCCAAATGGGAAAGTCTCTCTGGACACTGCAAACAAACAACAAATTACGTAATTAGGCTTTTTTGGAACTAGAGGAAGGTCTCCAGAAGATCAGGGTCCTTCCAGCGCTTTCTAATTTTACTGGGACTTACCAGCAAGCCAGCCTTCTAATAATAAAGGCTTGCGAATGCTTTTCTTTTATCTTCGTGTCTCCCGGTACTGCCCTACCTTTGTTATTAGTGCCCCAGAAAAACACATCTTACTCAATTTTACCGAGCTGATTGATACAGACCTGAATGGCAGAGCTGAAGAGGCACTAAAGACCTTTAGAAAGGGCAGCAAAGACATCTCTTGGCCACCAGAGCATGGGAAAACCTGAAATTTTAGAACTCTGTTGAATCCAATGTGCTAGGGAATTGCACCACTCTACGTAACTGTGATTTAGCTAAAGCACGGCACTATCAAGCAATGACAGAGTAAACAGGCTGTAGCTCTATAATCCACATATTGTGCTAGCATATCTTCTTTATTACCATTGGAGCAAATTCTTCCAAGGGAGGATGCCTGTAAGCAGCAGCTCAGTGTCAGGACCACTCAGCCTCTGTGCTGCAGGGCTGCCCTAAATTTGTGCCCAAGCAAACATGGGCCTGCAGGAAATCTTCTGCAAGTCAGATTGTACCATCCAACACCTGAACATGGACTGTAGCACCTAAGTTTTAGACTAGTATCTACTGCCTTTCAGATACAGATTGGAATATGTACTATGAGTTTCATTCTGTGCATGTCCTCTCCCACCTGAATGCAGAAAGTCAATACCTGGCCCTGTAGTCACCATCTTCTTATGCACCATTCCCCAAGCATCTGTACCACACTGTGAACTCCTAAAATGGTGCTTCCTATGTATCGTCCCTCCCTGTGATTACAGGGAGAGACAGTTCAAAGGCAATAGAGATATGATGGCATCTGCACAGAAAAAACCACACTGAAGTTTCTAAGAAAGCTGTTTTCCCCTGTTTTGTGCCTGCAGTGCACATTCTGACAGCCAGTAAAAAGAGGAAGGAGGAGGCTTGCTGCCCTGGTGAGGGCACACCAGCACACCCCAGGAGGCCAGGCAGCAGACCCAACAGGATGTGGTCAGCTCATTTCCAGCACACCCCTTGGTTACTGCCCTGTTGGCAAAAGTCAGCAGTGGATAGTGTAGTGGAGGGAAAGCCACCACCAGAGGCAGTAGGCACAGCAGTGCCAGGGAGAAGGCATCACCCACCATCTCACTGCACAACACCACATCACAGACTGAGCACCAACAGACAGCACGGACACGGGTCTTGGATGAAGGACAGCACAGAGATCCTAACCAGAGTGGTGGCTACAAGATAAGGGGGAGTCCCAGCCCCTCTGAGCACAGTTGCAGAGCCTGTGTGTTTGGTCTGCCATGTAAACATGTCACATCCCATGGGAACTGAGAACAAATGTCAAAATCTAACTACTAGTAACCCAGTTTTGCTAGTGCTGAGTGACCTGGATAAAAACTAAAGAGCCTTTGGGAGATATCCTTATAGCCTAGTTCATTGCATCTCTGCAGATAACTCCCTGCTTCTCCCCAAATTGGAAAAAATATAATCAAATAACTGCATTCTGCTTACTACAGTTATCATTCAGGAACCAAGAAGTATGTGCTCTTGACCCTTGTGTGAGCAACATGCATGTTCTGGCCTCCAGATTGCTGGAACTCTGAACTTCTTGCTCAGTTTTTCCTGAGAAGTCAAAATGCCAACTGGTATAAATCCTTTTTTCTCCCTCTTACTTTAAGAAGTTTTATGAAGAAGTTTTATTCTCCCTCTGCACACACAGCAGATACAGGTAACAGACAGAACACAAAGACCGCTCTTGGCACTCGTCATGGGTTCGTCTCAGCTCCCAAGAGACCAGTGGTATAATACATAACAGTCAAGCCAACAGTTAGCTCTTCTCCAACACAGCAGTGCCCTTTATCAGTGACTGCTTTAAGTTCTATGCAGTGGTTTTGTGCTACAGAGATAAGTCCCTGTTGGCAGGGATTGATCTGCAAACACAAGACTTTACTGTAGGAACAGCCTCAGGCTGGAATAACAGGACTCCCAATGCCTGCTCCTCCCAGAACACCAGCTGGGCAAGGAAATGTCTTCATGACACACCAAAGGATAGATGTTTTCTACCACGATTTATTCTCCAAATAATGTAATAAGGCTACAGCACTACTAATTTTTTCACCATCCACAGAGCAACACTTTGGAGTAGCCTCCAACAGCTTTCAGCCTCTTTTTCACTTTCAAGCAGCCAAATGTGGTTGCAGTTGCATCCTAACCATGTGACTTCCCTACATGACAACATTTTTTCAAGACATGTATTGGACAATGACCTAGGCCTACAGCCTTTAGAAGAGGAGGAGGTAAAGTGACCTTCAACAAAGCCCTGAGCAGTAGAACAGACTGTGGCCCAGTCCCGGATGGGACTGACATGACCCTCAACAGGAAAGAGGAAGTAGGTACCACAGTTCATATGTTCAGTTTAAGCCCTTTGCAAGACAGGTTCTTGTGACCGGGTGGTCACAGGTATCTTGGTTTTGTTCTCTGCTCCACTGCAGAGCTGAGGCTATAGAGCTCTGCTCCAGCACGTGGGTACGGTGCAGGAGGTTGGGCTCCCACATCAGTTCCACCTCCCTGGTGCTGAATGCTGGAGTGCCCATGACCAGGCACTCTCCGGCCTGTTAGCAAGGCAGGAACGCAGCATTTCAGGTTCCCCAAAGCACATATGGCCATTCATGGTTTACTGCAATATGCTGGCACCCAAACACCTCTAGTGCAGCTCTGGGAGCCAAGTGCATTTTACTTCTGGACAAACAGAGACTGTAGGGAATAAGTAAAGCCTTCACTTACACTATCTCATCGTTCTGGAACTCCAGCTCCCCACAGGTGTCTTCAAAGTCCTCTCCTCCACCTTTGGCTGAGCCTTCAATGGTTTTGTAGGGCACAATAACATTTCCTCGTGCACCAGAGGTTCGCAACACTTTCACTTCCATGGTTCCTACACTTTCACTGATGTGAGTTACTGGCTCCTCAAAGGTGAAGATACCAGCGTGGTCATCGTCAAAAATGGTGACAGTGGCAGTAGATGGTGATCCCAAGCAGGCAAGTGTTGAGACACGACTGGCCTCAAGAACGCCCTCATCCGAGGGCTCAGTGCTCACACGGACGTTGCTGAGATGTACCAGGAAGTTCTCATCCTCCTCAAATATGTCATCATCGATTATGCCAACACGGATTTCCTTCTGGGTCTCTCCAGGTTTGAAGACCACTGTCCCTTCAGTGAACTCGTAGTCGGAGCCGGCATTAGCCGTCCCGTCCTCTGTCCGGAAGTCAACGTACACTGTGTTAGTCAAGTCACCTCCCCGGCGAATGATGGTCAGGGCCACAGTGCCACAGTTCTCCAAACACTGGTAGGTACCCTGCTCAAAATAGAGCTTGCTGATGGGATCATTTTCCGTCACCTCACTGTTGACCTCGTGCATGCTGACGGCTTTGCGGGCCTGGTCTGCAGCATGTCTCTTCAAGATGTTGCCAGCTCCGGTCATGAGCCGAGTGGCCTGGATGCGGTAAAAGGCCCTGCTCTTCTGTTGCTGGCTCAGGACCTGGTAGTTGGCCAACTCAATAAGCTGTTCGATTTCCTTGTCTGGGTGCTTTTGTTTCAGCTCCTTCAGGATCCGAGCCATTTCCCTTCTGGCTTCCTCATCATCCTGGTCTTTCTCATCCACTTCCAACACCAGTGTCCCATCCAAAAAGTTCTCCACATGAGAATTAGCAACCTTTCCGTCCATCTCGATATCAGCTTTGGAGGAGGGCCGGTCACCCTCATGCTCTATGATCATACCTCTCTGCTTGCCAGCTCGGTATTTCTTGTAGACGTACTTGTAAAACAAAAGCCTCCTGTCAGCTATCCAGGCAAACACCACACAGATGGGGAAGAAGAAGAAGGTGAGCAAGCCTTCCCAAACCTCCACAATCCCAGGTGAAGACACAGATAAAATAATGTAAAGCCAAGTATAGGCAAAGATGCTCCAGGCCGCCGTAACAAAAAACACTCGCAAGTGCTTGATCTTCCTTATCTCTCCATCTGGAACCACGTACACACATATCGCAATGATGACAAACATGTTAAAGGCAGCACTTCCCACAATCGTGCTTGGCCCCAGGTCCCCTGCTGTGAAGCCATGGCCGCACACTTCGATGACGGACAGGAGGATCTCGGGGGCGGACGAGCCCAAGGCCATCAGTGTGAGATTGGAAACGGTCTCATTCCAGATCCTCACAGTGGTTTTGCTGGTCTCACCATTGGGCTTCTTGATGGTTATTTCTCGCTCTTGGGATGTAATGACTTCGATGGAGGACATGAAGCGGTCAGCTATGATAGACACTCCCAGGAACATGTACACCATCGCTACAAAATACACTGTTGCCCGAGCGATTTTGTCACCAAATGAGGGGTCTTGGGGTTCCCATATTGGTAAAATCACACCCTTTTTGCAGATGTACGAGCCAGCACACTCCTCGGTGTCATTCCCTGGCAGTTCACTGGGGCTCTCCGCATGTATGCCATCTGCATGGCAGAGCAACACCAGCACAAGGAGCTGAAAGCTCACTGGGAAGGTGGGTGGGCGAGTTACTCGTGACATGGCCACTTCTTCCGAACAGATCCCAGACATCCTCAACCTTCAGAGACAAAAGGAAAGATGCATTAAGTGAGGCCAACCAGAGATAACAGATTTTCCTCTCCAGTCTCTTTATTTCTCATTTTTCCCAAACATATAATCAAGTTATCCTGTTACTCAAGAAGACCCATTGAATGAGCCCATTTTGTTATGATTACTGATGTTTTTCATGTAGAAATTATCTAGTTCAGTCATCTGAACAAGGGTGGATTCAGATGCTACCATCGGGATAACACCTACCCCCTTTAGCTACTATGATGTTTCTTTCTCTTTGCTGAAAGCCTATTTGTTCAACTGCATTTTCTTGTTCCTCATCTAATTAAAGTCCATCATTCTGCTTCACAGCTGGTAGAAGTGTTTCCCATTTCAAAATTACTGTGCATTCTCTCACTGGAATTCAGGGTAAGAGCAGAAGAGGACAGAGAATCTACTATCCCCTCATCATGTTTAAAAAATATTTTTATACTTGCCATTTTAAATCACAGTAATCCATGTATTTCACAGCCTTTTCTTGCTCACAGTCCTCCTAAACATCTACTCCACATCAGAAATCTGCACAAAGTGAGCTCTCAAGCCCTGGCAAAACCTTATTCTTAACAGTAACTTGGTCATAAGGTGCACCAGAAGGGCAGTCTGTAATTAATGATTTTGGAGCCATTCCTTCCACAGCGCATCACTTTGCACCTTCCCAAAACTGGAAAGAGCCCCATATGCATGGAAGCCTGGCTCTCTTGGCATGCTTCGAGAGGAAACATGTCCCTGTGCTCTTTTCCCACTAGGTCAGCTTTGACGGCTTCCCCTTCAAGGGCCTTTCTCACTCCATTTACAACATCAGTCATCAGGCATGACAGCTGTACTTGCCCTTGTCCTGCCTCAGGATTTTCCAGCAATGTAGAGGAGCTGTTAAAGAGGTTTGCAGTTAGTTAACAGTGCATAAACCGACAGAACAGATGCCTTTAAGTACAAAGAGATGCTTAGTGCAAAAACCTGAGCATGCTCAGTGTTACATTCTCAATTTTACTAGCCAATAAAAGCCAGATCCCTAGTTATTAAAGCTATATTTTCTCCTCAAGGAGAGCCTTTGCTATACTATGCTTCTCCTGTCCAAGTTAATTTAATCACACAGTGCTTAAAATGTTTCTATGAAGAGAGGAAAATGAGTACATCGATATCCTGACTTTGCTGGGAAATACAAAAAGCTGAACTGGTTTTGCTCATAAAAAACTCACACTCCTGAAAGGAAAAAAAAATGTTCAGCCATGAAAGGTTTTAACTTCTAAGAGAAAGATCTCATTTCCAGGCCCATATCAGAGATGGGACACAAGCAAGAGACAGTCAATGCCTCCTCAAGTACAGTCTTCGCAGCGCCTGGCAGGTCTCACTCTACCATTTGCCATCTGCCTGGTCTCCAGCAAAAACACACCAGGTCTGACAGCTCACAGCTGCATGCACTGGGAGACACAGACCAACCCATTCACACTAAAGGTGGCACCCAGTGACAGCATCCCAGCTGTCATCCGGGCCCAGTCATAGTGATTGGGACCCAAATGGGATGGCTAAGAATACCTTCCCTCTTCCTTCTGAAAGAGGTCTTGTTTCACAGCACAGCTGGGGCTCAGGCTGCCTCTCCAGCCACAGAACAGGCTACACATGCTGCATTGCTGACTGCAATAGTACAGGCAGGCATTCCTGAGGAGAAGTATTTACCCTCCTAAACAGGAACACACCAACACCTCCTTGAAGAAAAGCACCTGGTCGACCACCACCCATCTCCTTCTCCCCCATGACAAATCGCCCCTCCTTGTTAGGGCAGGGGCATATTATGCAGAGACAAGGCTGTGCACAAGTGAACACCTGACTGGAGGAAGCAATAGGTAGCATCCTGCACCCATGTTATGGGGTCTACTCCCAAAGAAACAGTGTAATGATGGATCAAAGCCCTCTCCTCTGTTTGCTTTTATTTATGGATATTGTAGTAGGATTATTGGTCTGGAAGAATAATACTGAGAATTTATCAAGGCAGTTTCATATAAACGACATTTTCTCACCAGGAACTGTTGGTCTGCCTCCAACCCCCGCTCCACAGCTTTGTAATTAAGAAAAGAAAAAGATACATAGTGGAGGAAATGAGCAAGTCAGAGAGCTGGGTGATAAGAACAGATAAGATGAACAAGAAAAAGCAAATCTCTTGTAGGAAGATAGATTTAAAAGAAAGTTGTTTGTGTTGGAAATCCTGCTAATGCTACAAAAAAAGTTCTTACTGCTGGATTCAGAAGCCCTGAACATTGTACCCCTAATCACAGCCCCTTGGTGCCTTCCACTTTCCCAAATGCAAACTGTAGCCACTGCTTACAAAAGTGAAGTAAAAAAAATGAAAACATGATGTTTGTAAAGAAGAGTACCTTGTTGCAGGCCGTTCAGCAGATAGCTAAGTTGAAACAGATGTGCATTCATGGTCATTGAAGTTTAGCTGAAGCATCAATTAGTCACCCAACATCTGTACTCCTGTGTTTCACACTGCTCCAAACCAAATCACAGAGACATTTGATAAAGGGGCTGTCAAAACACAGGCTGACTTGGTACCTACTCTGTTTATCCCAGATAGCTCGTAAGTGTAGTTTTGCTTCCTTTTTAAATATGTAGGCTTAAAAAAATTCATTGTGGGCATATGATATTACTCAGCTGCATGGTTCTTCACCCTCTCCTTCTAAAGGCTAGTAGTTTCTTCAAAAAACTCAAGAACATCCACCTGCCCTTGTTCAGTTAATATTTCTCCCTGTGGCAAGTCATATCCCTGCACATGTACAATTATTCAGAGCAATCAGGCATTGTGAAATCCCCTTGGCAAGAAGAGAAAACAGATGGTTCTAGAAAAAATATTATGCTTTGGGTCACTGATTTAGGTCATAGGAGAGTCCCATCACACTTTGGACCAAGTCTACAATCTCAAAAGGATTTGGGCACTGGAAGTCTCATGCAGAAAAAAAGACATGCATGAAATCAAATTAATAAGTAATTTGAACTTTATTTGCCATGTTCTTCCCTTTTAAACATTCTAATACAAGCTGGTTTGGGGTTTGTTTTTTTCTATTTGGTTGGTGATTTTAAATCAAGTCCCATATTATGTTAAACAGGAGGAAAAAAGGCCTAGAGGTTTGCATCTGAGCAGTCCATCTTTCTGGCATTTTCAACCAGCATGTCACATACAAACAATATTTTTCCCTCAGATGGCAGAAGGTAAAAAATGTGGAACTTTTTTGGAGATCTCAGAGGGACAAGAAATGGCCGGAGCTTTGGAAGAGAAACCCATTGGCCGCATCAACGTGCCTTCTTTGAGCAGCAGGAGCGTCGCCCAGCTCTCTGCTGTACTTTCTCCAGCATTTTGTGGTGTGGTCATCAAACAAGACTGACATACTATCACCAGCTTTCCTACTTAAACCAATTCACAGTGAGACTCAGGAATTAGGGAGGGCTAGAAAATGCTTGTCCACAACATGCTAGTTACACACATGCAACCAGAGCCTGACACTCAAAATATCTCTGAGAAGCAGCTGCTATTAAATCATCATAATTTCTTTATTTGTACGATCCAAAATAAACAGCTTGGTCCCCCAGAGATCCTCTTACTCTGCATTTGCCTAGGGTCTCAGCCCATGGTCATCACACCGCTGTAGGAATATTCCCAGACAAATCATTTACATTATTCTACAATGAGAAGCAAGGCTACTAGAAGAACAGCCCTTCCTCCAAACCCAACTTTGTTAGCTTTTCATTAAGGTGTCTCAATTGCATTTCCCATCCTGGCCATCAACAATAAAAGCAAGTGCGGGTGCTGATGCTGGCAGCCCTGGCAAACCCTGCCTGCAGTGGTGCTCGTGGCCTTGGAGGCACTACCCCAAAGCCTCTGGGATCAGATGGATCATGGCTGCACTGGGCAGAGACACAGGCTGCTCTGGAGCTCAGCACTGACCATACATGTGTGGTGAAAAATCCCAAACTACCGTCCTGGGCCAGCACAGCCCTGCCCATAGGCACTGCCTGATGCTCAGGGACAGCACCCAGAGCCCTTTTTACCACTGCAGGAGTGGAACTGCCTTGGGGCTGCTGGAGAGCTTTAAGGGAAAGCTAGAGCTAGCCAGGAGAGATAGAGCCCAACCTGGGCTCTCCTGAAGTTGCAGCTGAGCCCCTTCCCTTTTGCAACAAGCTCCCCAAGGGTGCCAGCAGGCCACTTTGCACAGTCAGGGAGAAAAGCCCATGAGAGCATGGCAAGCTCAGTTTAGATGTAGCTCCCGGCCAAGGGACGTTGGTCCAGCCTTTATTCCAACCTTGGTGTTGCGAAACACCAGGAGGGCAGTTGTTGTTTACAGCAGGGCTAGGAGGGTCGCAGAGATACTTGCCTCCCTGCATGACAAGGGAGCTCCAGGTTTTACAAATTGGTAGGAGAGAGCTCACATTGCCAGCTCATGCTCCTGCCCCCCAGCTCAGGAGCTGCCAGATAGGGAGGAAACAGCCTTTTAGACTCTGCTCTGACAGCTTTGCTCCTTCAAGCCGGCTTGTCGCTGCATGCAAAGTGAGTCTGAAAGCTGCTCTGCATTTAAACAAAGCGCAGCTTTTGCTTTGCTGCAGCCCCCCAAAAGTCCCATCTCCATTGGGGCATTTCAGCCTTAAAATATCCACCTCAAGACCCTTCCTGTTATTTTCCTACACCTTTGTATCACACACAGGTCTATGACCATCTGCAACACAGTGGAAGCACTGTTATTTTTAAAAAGTACTGAAAAAACACTGCTAATCTAGACACTTTAATTACAGAAGGATTGGGCAAGGAAGAAAATGGCCTAGGCTCACAAGGAATGAGTGGCCACACAAAGAGAGACTGAGAGACTTTCCATGGAGAAATTTTTTCCCAGCATTCAATAGAAAACCTGTACAGAGCAGCTATAACACAGCAGTGTTCGCACCATTACAGCCACTGCCGATGCTACCCAACAGTGCCTACCC